GTTTTTTTTTTTATATATCCAAGTGGTCCGCTTCGTCTCTCTGAGTTCCTGGTTAAAAGAACCGGAATTAGCTTTCAGTAATAAGTGTCGAGTACTGCTGTGAGGTTTACACTGTCTGAACTGACATTTACTAAACTCAATTCTTAAAATGCTCAAGAACCCATAGCATCACAACATTTTAGAAAAAAAAAGTTTATTTGCCAGGAGTTTGACAAAAATGTCAATACCATTCTCACATCTGTATGGTAATCATAAAGCTGCAACCAATAACCAGTTAGCCTAGCTTAACATAAAGACTGATTAAAAATGGTAATGATCAGTATTATTAAGAAATGAATTGGTGTGCTTTAGAACTGTTGGTCAGGTGCTTTTGCTGCTTTTGGATAGAGCCAGGCTAGCTGTTTCCAGTCTTTACAAAGTTAAGCTAACCATATTCTGGTTGTAGCCTCATGTTCAGCACACATGACCGTGGCCTAAATGCCAAACTGATTTACAATATGTTAATGCCTATCACGGCCTGTTGTCTCTTTATTTGAGCTATTTCTTTTGGCGTGTTAATCCACTGGCTCAGCATGTGGTGGATCAAGAGAATCGTTCAAGATGCAGAAAAGCCACTAAACCTTCACACAGGTGTCTGGAGTGGCTCCACTCAACACTGACTGTTGACATACTGTAACTGCGCTAATCTAAATGGCAACTCTAATTACACTCAAGGCAGTGCTAACATTTGTTCAGGTGTCACCTCTTCTCTAGCTTCTCAGGCTAATATTGTGAGTGTTGCTGATTAACAAACTGATCCACACTGCGGCAACAGTTGACATAATGTGAACGTTTTTCTGCTTGACAGGAAATAATACCACACACACTCAAAAAAACAAAAACACAATCAGCCAACACAGCTGTGATGATGATAACAGTCACTGAGCGAAATGCTATTTTTCAGCCGGCTGCCTTTGTTTAGGAAGATTTCAGAGATGATTATTATTTGTGCAATTATCTGAATAATAACAGATCAATTTAGAGAAAGAAAAACATTTTCCACCTTGCCTGTAATTGCTCCTCTTTGTATCCACAAGCTCCCCAAGAGATGGAGAGCACATTACATTCCAGTTCGTCTATCAGTATGCTTTTCCTAGAAACTAAGGGACAGAGGTTAAAGAGACCTTAATTGGCATTTTCTTCAAAGCTCACGAAAACTTTAAACTGGTGGGGTGTCAGTGGGAAATGTCACATTACCATGTTGTCCAGCCATTTAGTTTAAAAGTCTCTTCATACACTGGCTGTCATGTTAGGGTTCTATGTTCTAATAGATGAGATGTGAGTATTAATGGCCACTGCCTTCCTCCATAGGCCAGCAAAAAAAGGAAGCATTGTGTTGTGGCTTTTGGGTAAATTGTAACTCATTATATATGCTTGGTACAAAGCTAGTTTTGATAAAGATAAATGTGACTCACCTTCCTTCGCCACATTCCTCGGCTAACCTTAGGAGGTGAGAAATGAATGACCTTAATATGCTGTGGTCAATAAAAACTGATACACACTCTTGACATTGTTGTGTTGTGTTTGTTGTGTCTTAAGTGTTATGAAAATACATTATACAGAGCAACAGTACAATGCTTTGGAGACTGTTCAGTATATACATAACCTGTCTTCTGCCGTGTTAAGGAGGATGAAAATGAACTGGAAAGTTGTGCCTTTTTTTCTGCAGCAACGTGCAGGAATTTCTCTTGACTCTCTTTGGCCTTTCCAGAATTCTTCCACAGAATTAGATCTGGTGTAAGAAATTAATATCCAAAATGTTACAAAACTTCCAAAGCCGTTTAATGTGCACACACATTCGGAACATCTAACTAGTCATGTTACTGTTCATTTTAAATCTACATGTTGTCTGAATATCGCAGGTCATAGTTGCTGCAGATCAGTACTGGGATCATCTAAACCCTGTAGTAATAAATTGATGAATAAAAAAAGGTAATCATCTGACCAACAAATGAAAAAGAACCACTTCACATCCCCGTTCAGTGACATTTTTCATTAGTGATTATCAGTCACTTGTGGAATCATGACAATCCTCTTACATTTGATGACCCTTTGGCAGTTTGGGGTGATTCTGAAGTGATTCTGTCCTCCTCTTTCACCGATTAGGGGGCTGTTTTTTTTTTGTCCAGACCCACTTTCCTTCGAAAGGCATAAGGGTGAGTTTGTTACAAGCGCACACAGTACATTATGCCACTTCTTTTAAAGCACTGTCATTTAACCTTTCCATGTAATTGCGCAACTCCTTGGAGTCTCCCAGCTCCATGTCTTGGCACACCCACTTAATGTCCTGGTTGTGGCTTCCAGACAGTGTGTTCACAGTGGGATAGCTACTGTCTGAGGGGATGGTGGTGAATGTGGTGAACTTGACTCGCTTCCTCTTGGTGGTAGGTGAGTCTCCTTTGCTGTCCTTGGCTATGCACCCTGTGTCTGCTGACCGGTGCACTTGTTCCTGCACGTTCTTCTGTGCCGAGCCTCCGTTCAACAAGTGGCTGCCCTCCTCGAGGCCGCTGCTCAAGTCCATCATGGAGGTCTGTTCATCCTGCTGGGGTGACAGGCTTATTTGGCTCTCCAGTAGCTCTGTCTCATTCCCCAACCATACCCAGTCATGGGCATGGTTCATGTTCTGACCTTCAATAGAGAGTTCCTTGTGGCGATATTTCAACGTATAGGAGATGCAATTGATGAGAAAGACCAGGATGGCAAGGCAGAAGACCCCCAGCAGGGCATACATCCCAATCTCCAGGTCTGTGAGCCCGCGAGTGGTCTGAGTGAGGTCGTCATCCATATTGCGACCACGGGGCAGGTCCACTTGTGCAGGGAAGTCAGCAAAGTCATTTGGTATGTTCTGGCTTCCATCATCTGAAAGTTTATCTCCATTGGGTCGACGCATTATTGCACTTCTGGTTGTAGTGGCTCTCCTCAACACCCCATCCTCTATGTCAGAGACCGAGCTGCCATAGTAGTGGATGTCAAGGCCAGTCCTGTCCTGCGAGGGGGAGAGCCTGCCTCTGTTCTCTACATCATCTCCATCAGGGCCATAGTCGTTGCTCCCTCCTTTTGAGCTGTCACCATGACCAAACTTCACCCTGATGTTACAGTTCCCCGCAGCCAGGATGCTGCGACGCTTGAACTTCTGGCAGACCTCGCAAACAGTCATTTCCACCCTGACCAGCAGGCCTTGGCCCTCTGCCTCCGTTACAATGACAGGCCATTTCCATGAGGGGTCCTGCTGCACTGTCACTACTTCTTCATCTAGGGAAGTGGCTGTCAGGACAAAAAAGTCTGGATTGTACAGGTCTAGAGGAGCCACAGAGCCATCGCTGAACTGGAGCCAGGCACTGATCAGGGCCTCCTGTTGAAACACACACACACACACACACACACACACACACACACACACACACACACACACAAAGAAAAAATACAGTCAGCAACACACAGACCAAATATTCTGCTTTGGTATCAAAAGAAAAGGAAATTAGAGTGCAAAAACCTGCGTACATATCATGGAAACAGACCAGAACAGATAATTTTGTTTTCCTTCTATTAAAGTTACCTGAAATGATCACGAAATTACAAGGTTTCTTTGCTGGAGAGTCAGTTTAGGGCATCAGCCAGATGTTGTTCAACTGCTCTGTAATATCCCATTTCTTGTTGCCAATGGCTTTTACTTTCACTGTAGTGAACTCATATAAATGAGACCCACAGTGATTACTTGAATTAAATGTTATTTTTGTCAGTGCACCCCAAAGGTATACGTAGAGTATATATGGCGTTTTGTAATGGTAGAAGACATTGCAAGTCATTGCCAGTACAAACTTTATGACTCACGTGGTTCTACTAACTCTGCAGCTATTCTCTCTAAGCTAAGAGGATACAGATGAAAAGCTAGGTGGAAAAGATCAAACAGTAACAGTAAATATTGTTCAAGTGAATGAGGGACTTGTCATATATAGGCATGTTAAGGTCGTCTCCTACTGCAATTTCACGGTTTGACTTTTAATATTGTTTAAGGGCAAATCCCCAAAAGCAGATCCCCTGTCAGTGCTCCCTAATTACTGTCACCAGAGGACTGAGTGTGCACTGCTGCCTGCTTGTCTTTACACTGCACATAGAGATAGATAAACGGCCTTCCCATCCTTCCTTACTTGGGGGAAGAGGGTGAAGAGGAGCAGTTCAGAGAACTCATGCGAGGGCTTGCTAGGCAGATCAAACAGGCTACAATGACAGTAGCCAGGGCAAAATGAGAAGGGAGAGTAAAATATGACAGAACGGCCAAGTTTGGACTGTAAGTCATATTTTGGTACAGAGGCCTTGCGTGGTGTTGCCTTTACATGCTCTCGGATAAAGCTGCCACTTCTATCAGCTGCCTAAGGAAACATGTTCAGTCACACTCTAGTTTGCAAGCCTTGGAGTTAACAGGGTTAGAGATGATGTGGAACAAACAAATAGATGTGTACCCGAGCACATGCACTCTCACAGCTTCCTTTGACGGGAAAATTGCTCATTCAAGGACTTTGATAATGTAAAATGAAATCTGGAAGTACTGTAAGTCTTTTGTTCTGGAAAGCACAAAGCTGCAGAATGCACATTTTAGTCTTCAGGAGATATATATATAAAATACTGTTTTTATTGAATGACTAACTACATAACTAATAATTTAATATGCTAGGAGATAATAAACACTGGTGTAAAACAAATTAACATTATTGTGTCTAACCAGACACTAATTGTGTCTATAAAAAATTACTGGTCTATGTTTTTAATCTATTAGATCAAAATTAGCATCATTTTTGGAGGCTTTTCATTTAACAGTGGTGACTAAGACAAGCTCAATTTGCTATTTGATAGCTATTTACTGCAGATCTCTTATACTGTATATGTTAGGGTATCCTGACCTGTTTGGGGCTCTGCAGAACCTCCTGTGTGGTCGTGGTAGCCAGGATGGCTTTGTTGCTTCCTGGACTCAGCTGCAGGCTCATGGAGAGGCCTGTCACCAGCTGGACCCCCAGCTCTGTGATAGTCACTTTGTCATCCACCACTGTGATAGTCTTCTCTGCCAGGATTGAGTCCGACAAAGGAGACAACACCTAGGAGGTTCAAAAGCAAGACAGTGAAGATAAAAAAGAGATAAACAAAGAAATTATAGATTGCAACTGCAGAACTAGAGGACGTTTAAAAGGGAAAACATGAGGAAATAGATTTTCTTCCACAGTACTCCCCTGTAATATGTGATTGATAAGCAATGCCTGTGGCATTCTGGCATGATCACTTACTGTTGTTCTACTCTACAATTGTGACTCAACCCACTGTATAGCCTGTTCATGAAAGCTTTTTCATTTCCTGGTCTAAACAACCAAGGCCTGTCCCAGGAGAAATCAGCAGCAGCAGCAACCACATCTGAACAGAGAAGAAGAGCACTACCTAAAAAACCTTCAGCGACAGAAAATCCAAGCAGAAATAAGTCACTGCTGGCCACACTGCTTGACTGACAAGTGAATCATGGTAAGTGGAATGCAAAAGCTTCAGTGAGCTCTTCGCAGTGAAGATTTCACAGACATGAAAAAAGCAGATCACTGTGACTTACAGGTGGTTAAAAAAATTTTTTTTCAAGTGTTTCATCTAACATAAAAGGCTCGAAAGCCCTGTGCGGTACACAAACAGATACCCAGAACTTACTTTTTATTTTATCTGTTTACTCAGGCTGTGTGGACTCTGGTCTGGATTTGGCTGTGATCCAGCTTTCATACCTCCCGTACTGTAGGTGAGATTCCATTCCCTTTGATTAATACTGGTACTCCAGAAACACTCTTTAACCCCAAAACAAAAGTCGGAAGTCTAACTGTGTTTCTGATGAATACCAAGTGAAGTATGAATGACTTTCTCTGCATGCATATCCTTCTAAATGTCTCCTAATGCATCAGTCTGCATGGTGCGTGGCACAGGTAGTCACAGCTGTCAGACCTTCGCACTCATCATTTTTTCTGGTTTGTGCTTGTTTTGTGAGAGAGGTTTTTTTTTTTTTTTGGCAAAGTGAAGACACGTCTGCACATAGACAGACGGATGAGTCCTCATTGCCAAGAAGCAGATCCCACTCACACAGATGTCATTAGGAGGGTGATATTCATCCAGTTATTCTGAAGAGCCTGACAAGCCAAAGGGCCGAGGGGGAGGACCCCTTCAGTGCTGAGAGCCTCCAGTACAGGCTGTGACACACCAGTAAGCACCTGTCTGCACTAGACAAAAGAAGGTGCTAGTACAACCATAGCAGAGGCAGTGGTGGCATTTGTTATTGTCCACAGAATCAACAATAACTTCATGTTCCTGCAGTGTATTATTCTAACATGTTGACAAAATAATGTACCATAGTGAGTTTCTGTAAAGTTTACCTCAGTGCTTTCATACATTTTATATAATAATTCAAATCATTTGAATGTTCCCAGTTTGGTGATACTTTAACAGTAATGAAATCATTGCCATATTAGTGCTGAGACTGTAGAATATTTACTGAATTACTGTACTGTATATTCTGTAATTACTAAAAGAAACCTTTGCCAGGATCACTGGCAGCCTTCATTGCGCTCTGCACCTCAGTTCACGTTGTGTGCCATTGGATTTGAAGAGAAATCTAAACAGTAACTTGACATCACAAGACTGAAAGCAGCATTTGTGATCTTCCATCACAAATGTGACAGAACAGATGGCAGAATTACCAAATGCATATTCACTGAGCTGGTTTCAGATCCCTCTCTTTTGTTTCACTAGTCATGAATGGGGAGCAGGAGAAAGATGAGTGGCTAGAACCTTTCTGAGATGGAAAGCAACAGGATTCATGGGAAATATGATCTGAATTTGAAAAGTACTGGTACAAGTGGCACACAGATGGGAAAAATCAACTGGACTAGAACTGATGAAGCCTCTTGGATGAGAGGTGAAACGTCTTCGACCTAAAAACCTAATCCAGTTGATTTTTCTAAATTTTCAGCTACAAACTTATCTTTTTATTTAGACCTAATAGTTCAGGTTTATTGCAACTTTGTACTTATTTTCATATATTGCTATTAATTATGGTAACATTTTCTTCGCCAGACTAGTTTCTGAGATCTGGGACCACTGCCAGGTTGCTACAAAGAAGTTCATCAGGACAAGAAACACTAGCACTGCAAGAGTCAGACAGGCTGTAAACAAACTAGTTTATTTACAGGTCAAATTTAAAGTCAACAAAAATCTCTCATCACAAAGGTAAGCTATGTTTGAAAATCTATGGAGAATGCAGCAGGTCAAGTTGAACCAGGAAGTCAGTCTATAAACTGACCTATGTTTAAATGTACAGTTTAGGAAATAGTTTCACAGTTTGGCTTTGTTTTCTCCTCCAAATATGCTCAGCTAACCTGAGGGTTTGTTTACAACCGCTCTGACTGACTGATGTGTTGTTTTTCATGTTGCCTCAGTGAACTTCATTTCAGCAAAGTTGCCACAGTTCTCGGCAATTAACTTGGTGACTATTTACTTTTTACACTATTGTATTATTTTTACTTGGAATGATGCACAAAACTATAAAAACAAGAGCATAGCTGTAATAAGCAGGAATCATTCTTTAAAAGTGCACTGCTAAGAAGCTAACATGTGGTCTACCTGGATAGTGGTCATCCCCATGTTAAGTCCCACCAGTATCCTCCTGTCCAGTAGCTGTGCGATTTGGGGGTTCTCTACTTTCAGGAAGTCCCACACCAGTTCTGTGATGTCCACCTGCCAGTCAGTGCCCAGCATGAAGTTGATCTGGCCTCGGGGATAAGCTGATTCAGCTACAAAATGGGTCAGGACTCTGACCATGGTGTGCTGATACTGCAGAGTGCAGCTTCGTCCTCGTTTGTCTTCATCATCTTCATCCTCGCTGTCCCGTGTGGACCTGGCAATAATAATAATAATAATAATAATAAACTTGGCAGGAAATATATTGGATGGATTGCTCATTATCACAGACATCGATCCCCAGAAGATGAAATTTAGTCATTGTAGTGATGCCCTGACTCATCCTTTAGCACCACCATGAGACTGACATACTATATGGTGAGAATTGGATGAATTGCCATGAAATGTGGTATCATTGTATTGTCACTGTGAGCTTGTCTGCATGCTGAGATTACCTCTGAGCATTTAGAGCTGGTAGTATGGCTGTAGACCTTTACCAAGTGTAAGACTCCACAGCCAAATTGTATACTACTTTGACTCAAACATCAGCATTCGTCTGCTAAAGGTAACATTTATATTAATTACAATTATATGTATTTGGTATTGTTGTATGAATATTTACATCTACACAATGGCAAAATCTAACATAATTGTACTGTACATACCGTTTGCTAAATAGATGTTTTATAAATGAGAACCATTGGCACTACATTCTGGACTGAGGTTTGTGCTATTTTCAGCTGAATTTTAACTTCAGCTGATCTCTGGTAACAAGCACACTCAGCAGTGTGACTCATACAGGGATGTGTTCCTGACAAATATCCAGTAATGATGCAATGTCATTGATTAAACCACTAAGTCTAGTGTAATGCTGTCATTTTTCTTTCTCAGTATCTTGTCCTTCACCATTTTCCAGCACTTGGTCTGAATTGTGAATGTGCTTATACCTTCTTACTGCTTTACCTAACAGCCTCCCTGATCGTTGTGTTGCTAGCAAATCTAATGTTATTACTCTAGGCAACAAATCAGGCAACAGGGGCTCAGCACTGTCTCACCAGGAAAATTGCTTTTGAGTATAATAAACTACGTCTAAATGGTTACAATACAGTTGCGATATCATTAGATTTTGCCCATAACTGTTTTTTAAATGTTGCTTCAACAAACAACTTTATATTGAACAGTTGATCATGGAGAATAAATGCTGTTACAGCTGTTCACTCTTACAGTGGACCACACTTGCGGTGTGTTTTGTCAGCAACAGTACTAATCCTACTCTATTGTACTGTAGACTTAACACCCTCCTCTCTGTCTAATCACTGTCATTTGTTGCTTTATCTCTCTTTCTTTCTCACACAGGAGACATTCTAGCAAAAGCTGTGATCACGATTAAGCGGGATACAAAAAGAAATTAATCTCTTGAATCTCTTTTTCTTGTGACTGTCCACTCTGCTTGTCTCTTTCTGTCTAAATTCCCTGAGAAATTTGATTAAATGTGAAGCCATGGAAATAAAGATGTTGCAGTAGCGGTGCTCTCCTGAGAAAAGCTGAGAGTACAGTCAGATTTGGAGTTAAGGGTTTACAACCTCTGAGTGCTGTCTAGTCCTAAATGAGATAAATGGATCTCAATCTAGTGCCATCAGTCTCATCACTATACCAGATATGGCACAGTTTTGTTGGGTTATTTGAGTTCCTCTGATTTAGATTTTTTTTTTTTTAGTTTTTATCAGATGCATGGAGCTTCTTCCCTGGATTACCTTAGCCCAATATGCATAATTAAAGTCCAGCCTTCAAACTCACATACAAACAAAAGAACTAAGAGCTACTTAAAATTCAGCACTTGCACAAGTATATTATTTATTCCAACAGATTAACATGGTCTGTGATTTTGTGACCATGTGCTCCTTTCTGATACTCCTGTTCTCTGTTGTCTTGACACACTCTCTCCATTCATTTACACATATTACTCTACATGTAGAGGAGAAAGCCGTCTGCCAGTGATATTAATCACCACCTTCCAATTATTCCAGAGGCAGTAACTGAAAGTTTCTCATCACTGACTACTTTGGTTAAATATTTCTGAATCATATTATGAGTGTTTGGAACAAGAACAGAAATTGTCATTTTACAGTCAAGGTCAATGAATTGACAAGTGGCACTGATGTTACAGGAGTATGTACTGACATAATGACTTGAATCAGCATTTCAAAAGTATATCTAATAAGGAACTTTTACACATTAGTCAGCTGTAATGGAGTCAGAACTAAATAAGCTGATATTGAAGTAGTGTATGAAATGTGCCAGTACTCGTGGCGCCATCTCAAAATCTGAGGTTAATCTGATAAACAAATCACACTCAGGGCAGAGAACAACCTGCTTCACAAAGCAATTTTTCTTTCTGCTTCATTCACTTTCAAGCTCACCTCGTACTTCAGAGGAGACGCTGCGTACTAATGTGCGTGCCATGCTTATTTTTGTTGTGCCCCGTGGATCATGTGCTACATTTGTTTTGGCATTTTGCTGCATTTTATTTTCTGCAACAATAACATGACAAAGGTCATTAGGACAGAAATAGGCAGTGCGGCTTCTATATATACAGAAACAGCTCTATCTGTCAGTGGTTGGTTGTTTTTTTATTGTTTGGATTTTGTAGGGAATCCGGGTACAGTTTGTTATACAGCAGAAAGAGAAACCTTGTTTTACAGTAGAAAGAGAAACCCCACTACAAACAGTGTAAGACAACATAGTACAAAAACAACATTAAAAATAGAGCAATAAATGGCCACTGCAAGAGATTTTTAAAAACACTATAAAACAAAGGGGAAAAAGAGTGTCAATATACATATCGTGAAAGAAGTGTTAAAGGAGGGGTGCATGCCTGACTGCTACACCTACACATGGGTCTGCTGTCTGCTAAGGCTTATCTTGTCCTTGTTTTGACAGGGCTTAGGGAGGGAGGAGGTGAGCCTTACAGGCAGTGTCAGTCAAAAACTGTGCGAGGAGTGCTTTTGCAACTATCCCACTAAGAGGCCTGGTGTCTTTTTATTTCTCCTCTCTCTCCCACGACTTGCCAGCCTGGCTGATAGAGGAAGGTCCCACCACTAGGAATTGTCGCTTATTGGCTCACTTCCTTGTGGGCTTATGGACTGTGGACCAATGCCCATTCTCGCCAACAGGCATGGTGCTACTGTGCAAGGTCATGCCTGTTATCCCCTGATAAACAAAGACGGGTGGAAGACAGGGAGAAACAAAGCTCTCTGCAGCCCATCAGCAGCAGTGCTGGCGTCAACAACGACAACACAACTTGGGTGTCTTCACTGATGAAGGCATACCAACGCACAGCTGGGAAAGCAGCATCTTCGACAAGCCATGGCATTAGTTCATTGCTGTACCTCTGTCACTCAAAATAAAAGGGGAGCAGGGGTAATTAGAGTAGAAACAGTGGTGCGTGGGATGGCTCCAAGTCCAACCTCAGTGCTTTTCCAGAAGTAATTACTGAAGGTAGGTTGATAGCTGCTCCATCAATTGATGGATTTCATCAGTTGCCGAGTAGCACTGCACAGTGGTGCTGGCAGAGGTGCTGCTAGTGATGAGGCCCCAGGGGAGAGGTCTGACCTTCAGACAGCTCTAATAATGTTCTGGCCTAGTGACAAGTAAGAGGCGCAATGGCAGGCCATCTTAAGCCAGTCGTAAAGACAAGTTGTATTGCACAGGTCAGCCATTTTGTTATCAGCCAACAACTGTCAGTTGGACTGAAGTCAGGAAGAGACAGGTGGAGTGTTCATTCACATGTCTCATCATTATTTTGGCTAAGGCTGCTATAATTGAACCTGAATACATCAGTTGGATTAAGGGCTATTCATTACCCTCTTACACCAATCTAGTGCTGCTGCGAAGGAGATACATGACTTTGATCATGAGCATTCATGTGATGCCACCAGGAAAGTCTAGAAGCACAGCACTATTGTTAGAAAAATTAAACATGAATCTACTCCAAAAGTTGCTTCACTGGATACTGGAAATACTGCTTGAATTACACTGTGCAAAGCACATTGTTCTGCAAAAACAACAAGTAAATTATATTACAAATGCCTTCTAATTTATTTCTTTATTGAAAATGAACATGGAAAAATATCTGTCTTTGCTTATTTCTACTTTGTTTAATCTCATCCTGACAAGTGCAGGCATGTGGTCAGAGACTTGTGGTGTAGTCTAATAGATTAAGAAACTTTTGCTAAGTAAGAAAAGAGTACTGTACCTCTGACTAGTGGTTGGCTGGATGGGTACCCTCCACCCTTTGATCTGGCTCAGCTCTGTGTCTGACACCTCAATCTGGAGAGGGAGTCGGGGGATCCATACAGTGAGCTCCAGCTGGGCACTCAGGTATCCATAGGTGAAGTTCACCATCATCATCACCTTGCCCTTCATCTCCTTTCCATTAACATAAACATAGTCACACCTGTCTGACACCTGCGTGGGAGGAGAGGGAAGGATTAAGAGAGAAACAAAATTTAAGATGAGCTCCTCTGACAGCTGCTCAAAATGACTACACTGCGTACAGTGTACAATGTAGGCTGGTCCACTCAAGTCGATCATGAGGATTCACACTCCTGAGCTTGCCAGTGATGCTACTGCAACTATTTTGAACAAGATGAAAGGCATTTATCTGTTCCACACAGGAAAAGAGGGAGGAGGGCAGCAAGGACATTTCTGAAACTAAGGGAAAACAAGTTGAAGTTTGCTCCTCAATTATAGAGTCCAGTCTATAGTTTACTTCTCAGCCCTTGCAATTTGGGCACTGTGTTAAAATACCTATATCTCCCACACAATTCTTTCCGTACTGATCCATAAACCTGTCATATAGCATCCATTGCTTTATTGAAGCACAAAGCCTGAAGTACAAAAAATGTTCAAATGCTTAATGTCTGGACTATAGTTCAGCCGACAGCTGAAAGAGGAAACCAACAGATGGAAAGTACTGTAGTAAAGGAGAGTAGTTGCCTCTTGATAAAATGACCAAACTCAAAGCCATCTGTTTCATAAATCGCTTTACTGAGTGGGCCAATTTTGTGCTACTGAAACGCACAGCTCCTTGTTGCTTTGAAGCTTCTTCTTTTTAACTTGTACCAGTGTTTGATTTATATCCAGAATCCACTCTCTGTGTCTTTTTAAAAGCTCTGTATGCAAGCTCTACAAAAACATAACATATACACATACACAAAAGGTCAAGAGGGGTGTCCCGCAGAGTAATTAATCAGTACATCTTAAACAGAAAGATCCAGTTTTCTTCTTTGTGAGTGCTATTGAACCCATCATCCAGCGGATTACTGTGGCTGGGACCAGGTAGAATTAGATAGGGAATTTCTTTCTTTCTTTTTCTTTTTTTTAATGCTTCCAAGTTATTTCTCCACATCGAGATAAAACCATAAACAGCAATTTATCATGAAGCTGTGGCAGGTTATCCTCTGTGACTAGGAAGAAAACTTTTTGAGCTCCCTCCAATTCACATCACCTTTAGACTGAAGCTACCAGGAGAGTTTCTGTGGAAAATAAATTTAGGGGGGTTACATAAATAAAAGCAGATATTTCCAGATTTCTAGCAGTGGCTTTATACTCATCACTGTGTGTGAGGGTGCTGGCTGAAGTAATGGGACTTTGTGGGAAAACCTTCAACAAAGCAGACATTAAATCTTCCTGTGCTGTATATCCCCTCTATTTACATCTGCATGGACAAATTCTCAGTATTCAGACCCCTTATTTACTGTAAGTAAAGGAGAGAAAATCCCTTTTTTGTGGACGGCTAAAACATTTGAAATGTGACAAGGGGCCCCACAGATACACTTACTTCATACTTCACACATACATGTATACTTCCCTGTGAAATGGAGTAGAGTAGAAGTACCTAAAGGTACAAATATTCTGAATTTACAATTCAGTTCTATACTACAGTATTTGACTAAATATACTTTGTAACTTTCCACCAATACTCCATAACCTAACAAGATTGTAGCTGCTATAGACGGATATAAAATATTTGTACTGGATGTCAAAAACCCTTGACTATATTCCAAATTCAACTGTATGCTGGTTGCCACCTACAGACAGCTTTAAATCTAAGTAAAAAACATACCCCCCCGCACTCTCTCTCTCTCGAGTAAAATTAACAATTTTTAAAATATCTTCACCCAAAACCAAGCTAACAAAAGCATGGCATGCTGAAGTGGATGCATGCAGGGCCAAAGTATGTTTACTCAATGATATTACAGCTGGAGACCATTCATAACAATACCTTGTTCATGCACGGGTGCCATGTGAGAGTGCAATGTAAGAGGGACTGGCAGAGTTGCTCAATGAAGCTTTTGAACATTTCTACAAGGGCAGTGTCGCTCCCCTGGCTATAGTACGTCATGAAGTAGATAGGGCTCCATCAAGGCTCGCAGTGTAAGTGTGTGTCTGAACCGATAAAGATGTCAGAGAAGTCGTTGCTTCTTATCAGCCCTCATTGTTCAGCTCTTTCTCTCTCACTACCTTCAGTCTGCTGACGCTGAAGTGCCTTTGACAGCCCCGCCTTCTCAGACTGTTCTTGTAGGTTCGGGCTCTGCAATCTGTTCACATGAGCATATAATAACTGACTGAGCTCCATGTGAGCATCATTGACCATATCTATCCGTACTGTGAATGATCAATCAAGTGGATGCGACTGACAACTATGTTTTTTAGTACTATTTTCCTTGCCACACAAAAAAAACTGCATGAAACTGTCTGCCCTTATTTGTAGCAAGGAAAAGAATGTGTAAATCAGGGTGGGATTCATTAGCATACAGCTTCACTCTGGTGTGTCCCATGACAGGAAAATTAACTGCCTGTTGGCATTTCTTCAATCTATTCCCAAACAATCTAAGACGAAACAATTATGGAAAACACGCCACTTGACATCCAGCCATCCCAGCACATTACACTGATGTGCTTACTGTATTTACACCTTCCTGCTGTGCTCTGTTATCGGCCACCACAGCTCTAAATCAATATTTTAACATATACAGACACAGCAGCCCCTTTAACCTACCTTACACCCTCCCAGTAGGATGTGTGTTAGTGTGAGTTACACACTCACCATCAGTCTGAATCACAAAGTATCATAAACGTCCAAGAAGATCCGCTGCCACATTAATCAGACACATTAGGCAGTTAACAGGGGACTACTAACAGAGGACATCATGGCTGTCTCTGGACCTGGCCCAGGAAATTAACAACTCACCAGACAGATGCAATTCCACAGCAGATATGAGCAATAGGAGTAGGCAGCATAAAGGTAGGGTGAGCCTGTCTCTGGCCTATACACAGAGTTGGCTTGACAGAAGCAATTAAGCTGCTCAGAGCCCTCTGTGTAAGCTACCGCACTCACTGAGACACATGGGTGAGGTCTATACATAGTCTAACAGCCCTGGTCCATGACAGCAACATTTGTGAGAGCCCACTCATAGTATGATCTGGAGTAACTACAATTCATGGGTCACACGGATATAGAAAATCTTCTGGAAGGTGATGAATACACAACTGTGGAACATGATGTTGCTGTTTGAAAATTTTCTGTAATTAAAAAAATTAAACTAAATTAAAAAAATGTGTAAAAAATCCTAGAAAGTTAAATTCTGAAACATAATTTGTTTATGGGAAGCATGTAAAAATATTTGGATGTTTCTATTAAAGAACCAGAAAGAAATAACCAGAATTCGCAGCAAAATGATGACACATTTAACTCACATAATTTTAAATTGGCAATTGAATTTTGGATGTGTGCGGGCAGCAAAAACAAGACATGAACTCAAATGTCAAATCCAGAAACCCAGAAAAATCTAAATGTGCATGCAAAATTATGAAGGCAGAACTGCATTTCTGGCTACACATCAGACTAAATTTGTTCAAGCAAGAAAAATTTCCAAAAATGTTAAAAGAAAAAGCATGTGGCCTGAGGTATTTCTTTCAAATTCACTTTAATTATAAGGCCACAAGTGAGTTGAAGTGTCATTTCATGTGCACAGTGATTCATTTTTCAGGTTTAATGTCACTCTGTGTTTATTTATCTCCGGTTCCCCGGGTCAGAATTAGATAAATTAGACATGTTTACATACATGATTACAGGCTATGTTTATGAGGAAAAAAACTTCCTGAGTGAATAGTGGTGAGCATGCAGGAGGATCTGGAGAGCTCAGTGGACACATCTTTGACTGCTATTTAATTTCCCTCTGGACCTCACTTACCCATTCCTAACTCAGGTATCAGACATGATAAAGTGGATCAATGTGGCAAAGTATCCTCCTCTGGGTTTTTGATTTTGTTTCATTACCACTCTTTGTTGAACATTCTTTGAGTTTGATTTGCTGCAACTTGCTATCCTTTCTGATCTAGACAGGTTCAACAGGAAACATGACTGGGAGGAGTCCTTGGCGCAGCAGGGTGCTGTTTCTTAATAGTGAGCACCAGCCACTTAGAATTGGAATATTGGGAAAGGACCAACAACAGATGTGACTTTTTCCCCCTACCGGATATTAAGGAGGCACTGGGATTCTAGAGGAGAGCAACTTCTTTGTTATGTGAAGAACAAAACCACTGATACCAGGGCTAAACTTTATAACACTGTAAAGGATTTTTTTGTTTTGCTTTGCCTTGTGCCTCAGGTTTGAAAGGGACTCTAAAGATAAACGCTTTCATTTTGCAGAGGCAAATCGAACGCACACTTGGATTTACATAAATGTGCTAATATGTTGGATTTGTAATACCTTCAATATTGATTTTGCATACGCTTGAATGCAATGTCTAAGTCTGCATTCAGGATGAGTTTCAAAGGTGTGAAAAATAGAGCGTTCTCCATTCATTCCTACGGGGGGTGTTCCATTTACCACAGCCCACACCAGCACCGCAGGGTGCGCCAGCAAAATGATTCAGCCCCATGCAGTGAAAAAGTTGGTTCTGGTTCAACTTTTGCTGCACCGGACAGTGACATCATCCGGCAAAGGCGTTGCATTGACCAGTCGCGTATTGGGGACGATCGTAAATTGGAAGCCCACAGGAAGAAGACTCTATTTATTATTATGTTAGCATAAGCATTCATTCCTATTCATTCTCAATTTTGTGCCACATTTAGAAACGCACCATAACGACATGCCATGCATTTTCATTACTTAGGCTATAAGATGTTAAACAGTGTTTTTTATCTATTAATGCTGACACACTGGTGAGAGAAATTGTTGCTAAGGTAGAGTAGGCTATGTTAGCAGCATGGCTAACCAAAACAAAACTCATCACAGCGTGGTCATGTTGTACATGTGTACAACACTCCCTCACCCTCACCCTCCTGATTGATGCTGCCCCCTGTGTAAAAACATGGCAGGGAGTTGTGTTTTATCACACTCGGTCTGAACGCCTGTGACTGCTTCAGAATATACATACATAGTGTCACTCATTAATGCATATTTGTAGTTAATCCTTTTTAGTTGGATTTGATATTAACATCATCTTTTATGTGAGTTGCTCTAAAAGCCTGGACTGACTTGCCACAGTCTCTTATAGTAAATGGACAAAATTATTTATTTAATAGTATTTTAATGAATTAAACATTAATCAGTGTGTATTCACTGTATGGGTCAATTCTATGAGAAATTTCACTTACTATGAACTACAATGAGATTCACAGAGAAAAGGATTTTTTTTAAAACTGTATTATTATTACATAAAAGCATTCTGAATTTATGGCAGCCTTAGAAATGCATTAGGAACAGCGTGTTTGAAGCGATACAGAGGTTAATTTTTCTTTCAACAGTTCCTCTCACTCACCTTGACCACATCTTCGTCTGTAGAGTGACACATGACTGCTTCAGAGACGTCAGTAACAGAGGCGTCTATTCCGATGGTCACCACCTTTACTGGGACAGCCACTGTCTTCCCAGTCAGCACAGCAGTGTTCAAAATCTCAGAGTCCTATGGAGCCAGGAAGAAAGAGGGAGAGCAATCAGCACAGTACCGGTCTGGCAAGTCTCTAATCCACCCAGACAACCACTAATTAGAAGCACAGAAAGAATATAAAAAGTGCAGGGAACAAGTGGCATTTAAAATGACATAAAGAGGGTTCACACAATCACATCTCAGTTAGTGATTACTGAGTAAAATGAAGTGGAATCAGAGCCACTGCTGGGTAAACAGCCAATGACTGTTGGCAGCTGGTATGTCATTGTTACAGCAGCTAAAAATGCATGTTTTTGTTATTTAAGTTCTACTGTACCAGATCCACTGTATGACTAGAATCTAGTGGGAACTACAGTTCAACATGCAGCATTTTGTTTCCATTAAGTTTTCAGTAGCTACTGTTGAATTCATTACCTGAGTTGTTAAATATGAAATTAGTCATAATTATTTGGGGAATATTTTAATTATTGTGAATGTAATTACTGGATTAAAACAAAACATTCCTCTCACTGCCACGCTCTTTATCCAGCTAACTAATGAAAGTAATAACACTGTGGTTGGCTAGTCGCCAAGATTACAGATGGGCAGATAACATCTTAGATTTGACTTCATTATTGACAGGAAACAAATGAAATGGTAAAAAAAAGTTATTTTTTCTCTGAGAAAAATTTTCATGCTCTATTACACAATCATTTTTCTATGAATCATTTCCTTCTCTGCTCAGACACATTATCAGTAACATAACATGAAGGCGCTGAGTGTTTCTGTTGCTGGTGTTAATGCATCCTTTATTCCCTGTCTTCGATTCACAGCAATTTCAAGACTCTTGTTGCAGTCTCTGTGGTGGTTGTGATAATCCTCCTCTTGTGCGTGTGTAATTGTCTTGTAAGAGTACTGCCAGGAGATTTCTCAAACTCTGCCTGCTTTAGAATACACGGTGGATGCCGTTTCTACGTTCAGCCGTGTGCTTGGGCTCTTTTCTCATTGGCTTTCTCAGACCTTTTTTCCTAAAGCTTTCCCATCCCAGGCCACAGGGAGGTTGGATGATATGAACGGGATCTCACAGATTCAGAGTAATAAATACTTGATAATTGGTAATGATAATATTATGTTTTATTTATAAATATATAAATAAGTACCAGGAAAAAATAATGCAAAACAAAAACAATACAATTAGCTGCCCAAAGAAAATAAAGTACAAATAAGCCAAGTACAGTACTAACCCACAAAGTGTGTGTGTGTGTGTGTGGTGGGGGTGGGGGGTGGGGGGGTTCAGGGTTACCAGCAAACCGCATAACGAAAAGAAAAAAAAGGGGGGGTTCAGGCTTACCAGCAAACTGCATAACGAACAGAAAGGTTATAATGTCCCTAGTTTACTGGAAAAAGCATTTCCATACAATACCGCCTACATTATACCAGAAAATTGCAGATGCTGTGCATCACATTTGGATGACCTTCACCCAACCCAAGGAGAAAACAATGTTCCCATCAGCTTATAAAGGGTGCTTAACACCAAATGTATGAATTCCACTAAAGTCAAAAACTGAGAGTGTGGTTAGTGCTGCAGTATTCTGCTAAGCTTTTTAAATCCATCATGCCTGGATTTACTGTAGCTACTAACCTTGTTTAGCTATGTGAAATAACAAACTAAGTTACAGATAATTCACCTAGATTAATTAAATAAGAACATTTGTGGTATCTAGCTCTGGGTGTCTCATTTGCTATATCAAACAATAACTTGATATAACATTAGCTGTTTTGCAAGAAAATATCTTTATATAATTCAATATAAATATATATAAATATGTAATATCTAATACAGTATACATTATAAATACATCAATGTATTTGATCAAATTCATGGTGAAATCTAACCTGCCAGGACTCAGTGAGATCTAACTTGTGTAGCTTACTTACTGCCCAAACACCTTTTTCTATAGTCGACTGGATGCAAAAAGCATCAGTGCTGTAGTTTGCCCCTGGCCTGTAGTGAATGACCACAGCAGTCTAGACAAGCCTGGTTCTTTAAATTCAATGGCACAGCTTCATTACTCTGAACAGGAACCTTTCATTACACATACACACATACACACACACTAGCACACACACTCACTACTGTCACAGAAGATAATTGGGGCCACTTAAGCTAACTTTGAAGTAACTTTTGCTCACTAAAGTCGCTCATGCAAGTCATGGACATTGTATTATCTCTTGTGTGTATTCAGCCCAAAGAAATTGCATTTCGCTTACACATACTGCTGTGGAGCTCTGGCCACCACAATAAAAAGCTGCCATTGAGGTCAAAATGTACCTCTTTGTAATTGTACTGTATGATGAGCATAGCCTTCTTACTACTGGGGAACTGGAATGGCTTTAGCTAATTGTACAGCATGACAAAAGTCTCTCATTGTAAACCCTTTTCATTCTGCTGTTGGGATGGCCTTACACAAAATCCTTCATGGATGTCCTTAATTTCAAAGGGCAGTAACCCCAAGATGTTTTTTTTTTCCTCCTCTGTATTGAAGCTAGCGCTAAAGATATTTCTGTGCTATTGTATTATTTCTCTTTAAACAAAGACATGTAACTATGGAGCAATGCCTGTTGAATAAAATGCCACATTTGTTTAGAGTGATATTACTAAACCTGACAAGTGCAGACAGGACCAATCTACAGTGTCTGACGTCCTGTTGCCATATTCATGTGTATTCCAGAGTCGCCAGGAAAGTACACAAGATTTGTACACTTGCTTTCTAAAGACTTCCCCATGGTTGTGAGCTCAAGAGTCAGAGTCATTCAAAAAAAGAGAAAAAGAGGATTAAGTTTGGTTGAGAGGAGCCCGGTCGTTTGTAAGCATCAATTACTGGGACCATTCAGCTTCGGACTGAAATGATTATTAGTTGAGCCAAGAGATTCCAATGAATCACAAAAAACAGTTAATCTTCAAATGGCTTTTCATTACAATTTTATAGACTGTGACAGTGTTATATAGCAACATAAACCTCCTCTCTCTGTGCCTCTGACTTTGATTCAATTCCCCTTAAAATTGAGGGTTGCTGTAAATTAATTCTGTGTCTGCTGGGATTCCTCCATCTCCAGGGGGTCGTCTATAAAACATGATGGGGTAAATGGTTGGGACCTGGTGAAAGCAGAGGCTAATACTAGATCACAGCAGCTGGAGATGACCCAGCAGTTTGAGAGCAGCAGAGAGCAGGGCCTGGCAGTAATAAGCCACAGTGGGATCCCACAGTGATGCACCAATGGTTCATACACTCAGACACAGGCAGCGTAATTAAACACAAAATGGAGACCAGTGGTGCACATCAGCAGCAGCAGTCACCTTACAGTAGTTTGAATGAAAATGTAATGAAATATGAGCCCGTGAAACTGGAATAATGAGTCCATTACATGATGAATGCTTTTATTACGGTCAAAGATAAATGAATTTCTTATTTGAGGTGCTAGATATCATAAAGGGGAATTTGACAAAAAAAATCATTTTAACTGTACATGACACATCATGTACATGGCAGCGTAGCCTGAGTCTGTTTGACCTCATTTTCTCACAATTATTTTTAATGTATCAAAATTAATGAGGCAGTGATTTATTAAGAGCTAATCAATGATAAACCCTGAAAAGGTCAATGACTAATAATCGAAATGCACCCCATAGATTGCTAATTCACATTTTTGTGTAATATGCTCCTGAATAGAATAGTAGGCACTGTCTTTTCCAGTGCTGGGGCAAAAAGGCCCCAAAACTAAGTAGGGTTTTAGGGTCCCTTGTTGGGCCCCTCTACAGGATGAGCTGAGCACTGGTTTATAATGTACCATGTAAGCGCTGTGCAGTTAATAATAATGCACATCCAACCATTCAGAATTGAATACTTTTTATGGCTGTTAACTATAGTGTCTTTAAAAAAGGCCTCTATGGGAAGCAGGGATACTTAATATCTTTGAACACAATGATATGCATGCAGCAGGTTTCACAATCCATTTGATTTCCCAACTGTTGATGCTAGTTTTTTTGCTTTACTTACAAGCCAATTTGCCCCCTGAAGTCTCAGAGATAGGAGACTTTTTGTTCAATAATCTGTGGGAGAACTGCCTGTTAGCTGTATCAAGGATCTCTCTGTTAGCATTCAGCACACTGCTGTGGCTGGTAATGTGTTCTGGGCTGTAATTTCTGCCCGCGTCTCGGTTGGATCTGAAAATAAGTGAGATTTATGGTGTCAGCCTGAGTGACATGGGCAGCATGAGAAGTAGCAAATCTGCCCGTACTGGTGCTGCGATTAGCCTCTGCTTCTACCCTGCGCTAACACATCCACATTGTGACTCCACCATCTTGGGTACAGCTACAAATGAACAGGTCAAGCACAGTGTTGAGCTGCGGATTTTAGGGCCTACATTATTCATAGAGCAGCAGAGAGAAGAGAGGGTGGTACACATAGTGTGCATGCTCAGTGTGTACACCTGCTTATGCCAGCCCCCCATTGTTGTGGTTGGCCTAAAGCCACACAAGCCTAAAAGCACAAGGCAGTGCAGCAGACCCCCTAAAAGTCAAAACATCTAACCTGGTGCTTTTGCCACCATGATTGATGACTTGTCATTGGACATTAGTCTTTTTATGATCTTTCATGTCATTTCAAGAGCAAAAGAAACAGTCATGAGGCAAACCAATTGTCAAGTAACTTGTAGTAAATTAAATCTTAAGTTCTCATAAACATTTTCATCCTATGGAGATAAAGTATGCCTACATGTGAGGAAGCTGAAATGGGAGTAGGGGGATGTATGCTGTAGACATTAAATGCCACTCAAACAGTGTCCTGAAGCTACTGTATTAAGCAGAGTAAAAGAGATGTCCTTTCATCAGCTCCTCTCTCTACATTGTGCGGTGCTCAATGTGGCACTTCCTCCCATCTATTCCAGTGGGTGTTTAATTGGCTAGAAGCAAGAAACATGGAGGAGAGCGGGAATAAAGGCCTTGGTAGCACCATGCAGAGCGATACATCACTGGA